ATAGTTTAGATAAATTAAATATGTTTTGTGATAAATGGAATCTATCTGTTAATCTTAATAAAACAAAGATTATAATATTCAATAAAACAGGAAAAATTATTAAAAAACACAATTTCTATTATAATGGAAAACTACTAGAGCTGACTGATGAATACAAGGATCTAGGTATAATTTTTAAACCATCTGGATCTTTCACTACAGCAATTGATCAGTTATCTAAAAAGGCTAGCAAAACAAAATACTACCATCGAGTCAAACTATGCAAACTTTAGTCCAAATAAGATTCAAATCAAATTTACTAAATTTTTAATTGGTGTAAATAAAGGTGCTGTGAATAATGCTGTACTTGCTGAATTAGGTTTATTCCCACTTTCATTGTCAGCCCTTAAAATACAATTAATTTCTGGATTCATATCATTAATATGAATAGCGAGAGTATGGTTAAGAAAGCATACAGTGAAAACTTTAACATGTCTAATGGTTTTTGTAGTAAAATAAAAGAGTTATTAGGTAAACTTGGTTTTCAGCATGTTTGGGAAAATCAAAATACTATGTTAAAGACAAAACTACTTTTTTCAGTTCAAAAGAAATTAGAGGAGGAATTCATAAAATCCTGGAAACAAGCTCTTTTTTGTGACTATAATAAAAATAGTCATGGTAATAAACTAAGAACGTATCGCAAAGTTAAAAATAACTACGAATTAGAAAAATATCTCCTACTGGACCTAACAAAAATGTTATTTCTAAAATGGTAAAAATTCGAATTAGTAATAGCAAATTACTAATAGAAGTTGGTAGATATGTTAGAACACCTTTAGAACAGAGGATTTGTCCAATTTGCAAGGATGGAAATGAAGATGAATTCCATTTCCTCATTAAATGTAAAGCGTTAGAATTTAATAGAAATATACTCTTTTGTAATTTAAGTGATATAGTTCCATCTTTTGTTAATATGTCTGAACAAGATAAATTTAGTTTCATTTTGAAAAGTAATGATACTGACATTTGTACTGTATGTGTAGCTGGAATAAGCGATATGTATGATTCGAACATTAATCTAAAGAAAACATAATGTTGTTAAGAACTGTTGTAGCATTAAAGCTTATTGTAATAGCTTGAAGTGATAAAATTGTATAAATAACACCTCCACGCAATGTAGATATAAAATATGTATCTCTTATCATTGAGAAAACATATCTCTGTATATTTGTTTTTTGTTTATTTTTGTCTGTTTTTGTATTTGTATTTTGTAAATGTTAGCTGGTATCATTCCTGTATTGGAATTTACACCAATACAATTATTTGATTTGATTTGATTTGATTTGACTTGATTTGATTTATTAAGTGTATTGGAAGTTTTTTAATAAATTTGAAATCTAAAATAAGGAGTGTCAAAATTTTGCCGTTTAAAAAATCTAAAAGCAAAAGGCTTCTTGTACATAAGGCACTCACGTTTGACCTGTTTTTCAAGGATTTGGAATTTCATTGAAATACATTGTATATCTTTTATGCTTGCTACACCTACCCTTCTTACATTGCAGAGTTGTGTAACTGTTTACCTTTAGAACAAACTGTTAAAATGGATTAGAAAAAAAATCTTAACTCACCAGCATCATATTCAGCACAAACACATACAACAAAATGACAAAGTACACAAAATACCGATTTATGAATCCATTGTGTACTCGCAGTTAATGAAATATTGTTCAAATAAGTAATATACCATGATTTACCAGACTAAGATATCGATCAGTTCCCTCCCAACGGATTTCACTACTTTTGATGTTGAGCAACCCTTCTGACGATTGTTCAGGAAAAAGGTATAATGCTTACTGATTTCAGTTTCCTTAGATTTATTTTTTCATTAAAACTGACAAAAAGTATGAAATTATGTTAAAACAGTAAGCAGTTAATGAAGTCATTATACTTACGTAAAACAACTGTTACGCGGACTCCTATAAACTGATTGTCAGAATACTGTGACGTCTTAACAATTGCCTGTTAAGTGACACAATAATGACAGCAGCAAGTATTTTTTAGTAAAAAGGGTGAAGATTTAAAGGATCAACATGTAAGAGATCCAAAAGGGAAAATGCATTGTTCTCTGGACTCTTTTACTGTATTCTAATTCAAGCGCCAATGTTGAGTCTAGTGTAGACAAAAAGCGCTTCTGGCAAAATGAATTATAGAACAGGTGAAAAATATACCAAGCGGAGAATCAAAATTCATAACAGGAAGAAAGACCGTCAAAATCGTGCAACAACGAAAAAGGCGGTATACAAAACATTAGTAAATATCGGGTTGTTGTGTCTTTGACACATTCCTCGTTTCCATTCTCAATCTTATTATGTTCAAATAAAATTTGCTTCTCGATGGATTGCAATCCAATAACTCGCTAGACAAGCAAACGTACGATTATATTAAACGCTAAATCATGATAATGTTCAAATTTAACTAAATATATCAATGCGAAAGGTTACGATGACCAGAAATTATTCAATATTTGACATGGAAACTGCCATAAATGATATGTGCAATTTTTTTTTTTTTTTTTTTTTTTTTTTTTTTAATCTATGATTTTGTATTCCCCTTTCGATATTTTCCTTTTTCCTATTTTGTCTTTACTCGTTTATCTTGGTTTATATTATTTGTATTGTTTGTGTGTTTTCCACTATGAATAATCTAGCACCTGCATATTTATCTGAACTGTTTTCAAGTTGTTCAGTTGTTTTATAACTACGCATTAAGATCGTCATCCTTAAATTATATATTTGTTCATCAATATTAAACTAATTATGGTAAAAGAACATTTATGTATTCTGGAACCATGTAGTGAAATTCCTTGCCTTTGACTTTGAAAGAAAGTAAAAGTATAAATATTTTTAAAACAAAATATCAATCGTATCTCTCGAAAATACAAGAAGAAAACTTTTCGCAGTTTTAATGTTACAATTTTACTATATTTATACTTTTTATTTAAGTCAATGGTATTTGTCTACCTGTACTATATATGTGCTCTTGTATGCAGTGTAGTATGTTATGCTTTATAATCCTTTTGTTTGTGTATTATTATTGTTTAAATATTGTGTTTTCTTATATGTAGATTAGAAGACGGTACTGATTAACTGTTTTTTTAACTGTGTATCATTCTGAAAAGAAAAAAAATTATAATATTATTGTTATCTTGATACCCCTGTATACACTGTAAGCTCGATAAAAAGTATGTATTATTTGTCTCATTCATAATACATTATTTGTGTACAAAATATTCATTCATTAAAAACGAATCCCACATGTAAATTTAACAAATCATGCATTTTTTTATTACATGAACAAGACGGAACCATAAATTATAACCTGGTTAGGTCAACAAAACATATACCAGAAAAAAAACTTATCATATTATTTAATAAGTCATGCACGTATAATGTTTTTAGTAAAATGATGCATTTAGGCCATGAATGTGTATTTTAATCAGCTTTTAGAAAACGAGAAAGTGAAAGTAGAATTTTTAAATTTTAGTAGTATTTTCTTGTTAATGTTTATTCAACTTTTACGAAGTGATTGCCTTTAGTTTTTAAATATGAATAAAAAGAGAACATATGAAGTGGTGTTATGATTCATGACAAAAAAAAACTTACGGTCACTGACAGAAGCAAACAAAAAGCAAAGCTTTAAGTGTTGTTTTTTATCTCACAGTCATAGTTAGGTCTTTTACCACTTATGTCTATGAATTGAAGATCACAGATACGGGATACACACTAAAACATCATGACACACCAGTTTTAATTTTTTATAATAATGTTCTTTCAGATAAACGAATAAGATACTTGGTTATTTCTTTTCTCCTCCTTTTCTGTTTGTAATTTACAAATTATTATTTTGGAAAGGACCCAAAGGCCCGATTATGCCCCAGAAAAAAAAGTTTCAAGAACTACTTCAAGTTTACTTTAATAAATTAGAAAACTAGATCAAAGTTATGATGTCATTATCATTTAAATCTTTGTGCATTTTCCACGAAAATGCAGAAAGCGTTGCTGTTTTCTTCGAGACATATTTTCTATGTAAAAATATCGTCAACAGCAATATAACAACAAAATAATCTTCGAGAAGCTTCAGTTTAACTTTTTACATACTCCAACAGAAATGATAAAACATTTAAATGATTACGGGAGTCACCCAAATATTAAATAGGACAACATGTCAAATTACCCATCAACACAACCAACTCCTATCAACGCCATATGAAATTTGCTATTGTTTTCTGGACACCTTTCACTTAATTATGTAAGAGCATATTTAACAAATATAATTACTTGTAAATTTGTCATACTTTATTTGTCCCTACTTCTTTTTGCGAACACGATTGACTAGGTACATTTGTATATAAGAGACTTAATACTGGTCTACATTATAATTTCAATTAACGATCAAGTTTCAAAAAAGTTGTTCTTTTTAAAAATCCTGTTGGTACAGTTCAGTCAAATTTATGGTAGTTGTTTTACAGTTTTCAACTATAAGGTATCAACTGCTGCCAAAGTTACACAACTGTTGACATCTGTATTGAGCTCAGGTTTCAGTGATAATTATCTTCACCGATTTTTCATATTACTTATAACATAAAGGTTTTTCAAAAAATCTGAATTTTAAATTGAATAAACATTCTTAATTTTTCCTTCACTTTTGATCACATTTCAAATAAATCATATAATTTCAAAGCTATCAGCATGCAGAATCCAAATAGTTCACAATTACGCTATTACGTGATAAAACCCGTGTTGAAAAGAGAGTTTTCATAGACTTGTGTCAAGCAAATAATTGCATCAGAACAACTTTTTAAGTTTTCAACGTAGTGTTTTATAGTCTGTTGTTTGTCTTTTCGTTGTTCGTTTTTTTGTTTTTTTGTTTTTACCGTTGTATTGTTTTTTTTTCCTACTTTTTCATCGTCCCTTTTGTTCTCTTCTACAACTTAATCTGGCCAAAAAGTAATACAATTATGATATATTAACAGTAACTTTATTTATGAAAAAAAATACAATACAAAAAAATACATTTGTCTCCAAACCCCAAAAACATCTTACTGGCATATTTAACTAAATTCATATTAAAACTATATTTCCTAAGGAGGACGATAATATTCTACAAATACATTGTGTAATACATGTACCACATATAAATCATTTTGTCAAACGAAGTAAATGAAGTTTCTTGTAACAATATTACACAGTGGATTAAGATCATAAAACACCCTAATAGTAATAGAATATGTATATTCTATAATGATATTCTTTATCAAGTCATATAAGGTTTTAAATTTAAGTGTAAACACAATGCCATCGTTCCAAATCCATCAGATCTATGATAACGAAATCACATTATGAACACATAAAAAATTTAAATAATATAGTAAAACAGTCTTAATATACAGAATAGTTATTACTTAATAAACTAAAAACTTTTATATTTATTTTTTTTTTCTAGGATTTGTTACCTTTTTTATCTCTCTAATTTGAATACTAAAATATACATACATACTTTTAAAAAAGAAATCGGATAAAAAAGAAAGACAACCTTTACGAATAATACTTGAAATCTTTGTACAGGTGATTTTAAAAAAAGAAATAGGAAAAGATTTTAACCACCGTTGTGTCTTGGTGGTCGTGATGGAATACACATTTCCGTTTTCGTTGGCAATGGACAGTAACTCTGTGTAGCTGGCTTGGTTACTGTTAGTGTTGCACATCTTCCAGGAAGGGTGGAGGCTGTCATCATTTCAGTCTTACATAGCTGCATTTCTTTTGATGCAACAAAGTAGTCCGTTTCTTGGTTAATACCTGCAACAGATTTACACTGGTGCAGTTTTAGTTGTCGGAGTCGACGTCCTGGGCGATTTACGTTATCAGTCATTTCATCCATATATCCCATTTCCCTGAAAAACGGTTTGATATCTTCAACTTGCTTTTGGACGAGTGTATTATGCTCAGCTAGGAGTTTTTGTATCTGTTGAATTGGCAAATTAAAATCGCCTCCAATCAATATCTCCACTCCAGAAATCCAACCAAGATATTGCGCCAACCATAAGTAACGAAACGCAAACTGATAGCGTTCCTGTGATGTTGTTTGAGTAAGCTCCCAATGCCAACTTATACAATGAAACTGCTTTACGATATGTTGAGTCGGTTTAGGAGCTAGGATGTCGACCAAGGGGTACATCAATTTGCCTTGCGCAATGCCAGGAACAACTAAGGATGGTATTATATTGTACCAGTTTGGGGTTTGCAATTGCAACCTCTTCGTATCGTACAACAGTACCGTTTCGTGGTTGTGATGGACTTGTGTTTGTCGATAATCTTTTAAAACTGGTGAAGACATATCAGGATCGTCTCCCGGTAAAAATAATATATCGGGTTCATTGTCTCCGATTATATCGTTAAGATAAGACTTTCGATAATTCTGGTATTGTCTTCCCTTTCTTCCAGAAGCATTCATGCTAATTATTTTAAGCTTGTCTGTGTCTCTTCCCATATTTAATTTCTGTAATTAATGTGTTAAAATTATTTCAGTGACAATTTGTTTTAAATTTGGTACTTAGTGCGTAGACCACCTGCAATCTACACTGAGAAATGATCGTGTTCATGAACTCGTCCATAACAATGCATAAATTGATTGATCTAATTTTCAGAAAATCTACACAAATCTAAATATAAATCCACAGTCGATTACATAACTGTACAAACAAAATAATGATTACGTGGAGGTATTTAAGCAAAGTAATACGGTATGAATTTTTTATTTTTCTTTATATTGAATTTATGTTTATTTTTCTTTATATTGAATTAATGTTTATTTTTCTTGTCGACGCACCCAATCTCTTTCCCTTTCGAATTCGTGTGATTCCTTTTTTACCGTGATTTGTATCTTTTTAATGAAGTTATGAAATTTGAACATCAGAAAACTACTAGTGCCTCTTATTTCAGAACTAAATATTTCATTTAATATCTAAATATTATTATCAATGGATATGTGTACTTTTCCTCTTCTGTAAAGTTTGAAATTTAAATTGTATGTTTTTTTCAGTTATTTAGATATGATACAGTATGGCATAATGATTTAGTATCTTCTTATTAGAGTTATGAGATATGAGAGAAAAGTTTATTTAAAAACTTACTGTTTCCTGCTCTTCTTTGTATTTGTAGTTCTATTTTATTCCTTTATCTAAAACAAAGGTTACGCTGAATCTGAAAAAAAAAAAAATATTTTACATACATGAACATATTGTTTTATTTTCTTGTATCCAATTTTTTGTCAATGTTCTGTTAGTAAACTCATTCTTTAACTTTTACTTTCACTTTCATCAGAACGAGTTTTTGAAAAATTCCGTCAGGTATGCACACATTTTATATACATGTATGTGCCAAAAATATTCGACACAAATATACTAGCAAATTTGCCAAAAAAACTTTATTTTACCAAAAATTGACGTTAAAAATATAAAGTTTTAAAGAAGTTTTCTATTATAATGTTATAACATGAATTGTTAACAATTCTATAAATAGTCATTAGTAAGTAATGAACCATTTCTGAAATTTTCATTTCAACAAGGGTATGCACACTAACATGCATCAAAATTCATCGATTACGTAATAGTTTTGTTTTCAATTATATTCAAAACATGCAGGTTTTGTGATTTTGAAAACAGTTGGAAAATTTTAAAGATAACATATTTTTGTTACACTTTCAAACTTTTTGTTGCATCAAATAATTATTCGGTATCAAACAAGAGCAGAGGAAAATGGTAGTTAAACTGCTTGAATAAGTGCTTACTTTTAATTTAAATCTATTAGTATAAAAATAAAATTAATTAAAAGTGCTTGGAATATTCAAAAATACTAAATTATACAATGTTAGGTCAGACCGCAAAGAATATTACAAATTTGAAACACTAACCTGAAGTTTGTTCTCTCCTCAAATGCGCTACTGAAATAATTGATAATGTGCGCAGTTCTTTAATGCAATACTCTGAAAACTTCCAGATGAATATAGCCTGCGATCATGAGCCATAAATAGATTTGGGATTTTCCTCATATACAAAAATAGCTGATAAAAGTCAAAACATCAATATACCAAATCATTTACGATGTGTTGATAATTTATAGATACGTGGAGTTGGTTTTTATTTTACGTTCATTTTGGTCATAAAGCTCTGCAACTGTTTTGTTCCTTATACATCATTTGCTTTCAAATATTCGGGCGTTCTTGATGAAGGTTAATCAAGAAAAAGCAATTCGGAAGCATAAAATTCAAAACGTCTTGTTTTCTTTTTTTTTTGTAATATCTGATCGATATTAATAATTATATTTGGGTGTTTATTATTCAATAACGTTAAAAAAAAGAGTACAATATTCGTCGAATGTGACCTACCGAATAAGACTTATCATAGGATTTGTACTTACATGAGCAACACGACGGGTGCCACATGTAATGAAGGATTTGCTTACTCTTCCGGAACGCCTGAGATCAACCCCCCCCCCCCCCCCCCCCCCCCTTTTTGGTGGGTTTCGTGTTCGTTAGTCGTTAGATTGTTTGTTGTGCTTTTTGTACTGTTTGTCTTTTTGTGGTTTTTCATTTTGCCATGGTATTGTCAGTTTGTTTTCGACTTATAAATTTGAATATCCTTTTGGTATCTTTCGCCTCTCTTTAAGTACAAATTCATCAAAATAACAACAATTTAAATTATAATAGAATGAAAGTATTTTTATCAAATGTGTTAAGTTCATTGAACGGTTTGATGTGTGTAGTTTTCAGATAATATACCCAAAACAAGATATATGCTATTCCCTCATTATCATGAAATGTGATTTAGATTTTGAAATTGAATGCATATAATTTATCCTTATGTGTGTATCTGTTTTCTGTGTAGTATTTTGTGGAACTGTTCTTTGTATTTATGTCATTTCCTTTGGATCAATGTGTTTTTTCCGTATTATCCCCCCTTGGTATCTTCATATTTCCATATAATTAATCATTAAAATTGAAAGAATGGGTGTTGGCGACCACTTTGTTTTAATAGAAAATATCCATGTTTCTATGTTTAAAAGTAAATATGGATATATATATTAAGTGAAAAATTTAGTTAACACGTGTTTATCATTCATCAATCTTTTTCCCTAAAGTTTTGCGACATAATCTGTAGCATTATGTGCGTGTTAAACATGTGTTTATATTATTACGAGTACTTTAGCAACGTAAACAATTGTGTGGAAGTAAAACACATTAAAACATCCTTACGGTTTTTAATTAGCTTCGTGCAAATGTAAGCACAAGGTAGAAAGAATTTTATCGATTAAGAATTACTGTCTTCGTCATAATTCATTCAAATATGTTGGCACATATATCAAATGTGTGCATACCTGACGGATTTTCAAAAACTAGTGATGATGAAAGTGAAATTAAAAGTTAAATCAGGAGTTAACCGTGAACAAACAGTACATTGATAGGAAATGGACTATAAGAAAATAAAACAATATGCTCATGTATTTCAAGGAATTATTCTGTATCAAATGTGTGTCCCAATAGGTATTTGAAAAATAAGATTATTATTCTTACATTGTTAAGATGAAAAAAAAATATAAAGTATATCTATAGGTGACAACTTAAGAACAATTTAATTTGGGGTAGGGGTATCTTTTAGTTTGTATTCGAAAAATTAAAAGTTCACTTATTGTTATATATGAAAATAACTCAAGATGGTTGTCAGGTGTTCATACATTCAATACATCAACAATATACACAGATAACTGATAGGATACCTCAATATCAAAATAAAACTTCAAAGAAAACATGGAGACAAGGCTTCAAGTCATATGTTTATGAAATGTCAATTATCGATTCATATTCAAAATATCTCAGAAAATAGAAAAATAGATATACGACAGAAGTATTTCACAGTTTCAGTTTATTAATAAGGATCTTGCATGTATATATGCAAAAACAAATAAATTCATACAGCATAAGTATCAACCCCAAAAAATGTCTAATTAAAGATATGAGATCAAATACAAATTTATATTTAAAGGAGAGTGGAATATCAAATGATAAACTTGTTTTATTCTATTTCGTTTTTTTTTTCTTTCTATTATTGCTAATGATTCCAACAAGATGATTAATAAAGGGACAAAGTAGAAGTGTTTAACAGTCGTTTTTTTTTTCAAGACAAAATTACGTACATGCTCGTTGAGATAATGGAAGGGAATAATTTTGACTTTTTTGCACTAATTAAAATCTCTTCATTTATGATACTAGTTTATTAAATAGGTGCACGCCATTCCTTCTGTCTTTAGAGTGTTTTTACTCCCTTTTATAAATAATAAAAGGCAGATTAAGGTCTCGCGTTTGCATCTTCTGCAAATCAATGTGAAGTTACTGACCAATTCATTATTCCTAATTTTATATTCAGTATGCAACCGACCGTTAGTAGCTAGTTTGGATTCATAATGTTTTAGTCAAAGGAAATTAAAATATCTTTTTTGAATAGAATTTTAAGAATGATAATCAAATTAAAAATAGTTAATATTATTATAACCCTAACGGGAGGGATTGTGCATGATTTTCATATGATGAAGAAATAATAGTTCAATCAGTTTAATTGAGGTCTGAAGCTGGCATGTCAGTAACTGCTAGTAGTTCTTTGTTAATTCATGTTGATCATTGTCATTTTGCTTAGTTTCTTCTGTTACCTATTCTGACTTCGGACTCGGACTTCTTTTAAACGGAGTTTTACTGTGCGTATTGCTGTGTGTTTGTTTATTCTACATTGGCTAGAGGTATAGTGGGAGGGTTGAGATCTCACAAAACATGTTAAACCCCACCGCATTTTTGCGCCTGTCCCAAGTCAGGAACGTCTGGCCTTTGTTAGTCTTGTATGTTTTTTAATTTTTGTTCATATATATGTTTTGAAGTTTAGTGTGACTTCCATTTTCGCTGAACTAGTATACATATTATAAGGGGCCGGCTGAATCCCGCCTCCAGGTGCGTGATTTTCTCGCTGTGTTGAAGACCCATTTGAAGCCTCCGGCTTTTGTCTGCTCTTTGGGAATTCTCAATTTTATAAACAGTTTTAGTTATTTAGTTGTGACCCAAATATGAAATAGCATGTTCTCGCTGTACTCAAATATAATGCATTATATTAATAAATCATATTGACTTTTTTTTAGTTACTCCTTTTTGTTATGTAATATATCCGTTGAATATCAGAAAAATACTGATATAATATTTTTGGAAATATAAACATTACTGTAAGCAATCGGTTGGTAGTTGAAAACAAATGATGAGTTACCAAACTATTGATAACTTTGCATTCGTTTTTTTTCACTTCTTTTTTATCAAAAATATTGTCGGGGTTGCAAATCATTCTCCGTTATTCAATCAATTTTCTAAATCTTTATGTCAGCGAAGGAAACAATTACAATAAGATACAGACTCATCGATTTGCAGCAACATCCTTCAGACTTCAAATCTTGAAATAAACAATTATGTGATAACAAAATAAATGAATAAAAATAAGGAACTGTGTAATGACTGAAAATCCGACTACTATACACCAAGGACCAAATCACGAAGATATAAATAACTCATTGAAGGTCACGGCAAGACAAAAAGTTCTACAATTGAAAATATTAGATAACAATGACCTGATTTATACTAAAACAAATACGCTTCACAGCAACCGATGACAACCATTGAATTACAGTCTCCTGATTTGCTACATACAAGTTCCAATTCAATTTCTTTTTCTTGATATTCCGACCAATGTAAAAAAATTTACCGAAGGATTCATTGTCCCCTTGGTTGTATAATCACCACAAACCAGTAAAAGTCTAAAATGGACTATATCTGTACTCGACTGTACTGATATTTTATCGATCAGTCTGAATTGGTCTGAAATTTACTCTATACTACTCGACTGTAGTCTGAACCAAACTTACAGTCTGAACTTGTACTCGACCTTTACTCGATCAGTACTTAACCATTTTATAAGCGTCTGAACTATACTCGACAAGTCAACCATTCTCGACCAAGTCTGAACCATGAACGACCTAGTCTGAACCATACTTGACCTAGTCTGAACTATAATCGACCAAGTTTTAACCAACCTAAACCTATTTCTGTATCTATCTATTGTATTTCATCAATTTAGAAACTATTTTTGATAACAGTTATTTCCTTTGGCTAGAAATTTGAACAACAATTTGAAATCCAAAATGTGTTTAATATAGCATTAGAACCAACATTTCAAAATAAACACCATATATATATAATTTTGCATCTTTTGTTTGCGGCATACCATCTTTTCCGCAAGTTTATTGTTTTCTGTTTGGTATTAAATTAATAAATAAGATCCATTTTGTTACATCTGGTGATCCGTTTATTTGGCAATCGATAATTGGCAGTCAGCAGGGTTTAAGGACACCCGTTGTTCGACCTGCTAGTCAAATGCGTTTTGTTGAAATGTACTTTTTCACTCTTTTGATCGTTGGGAAATTTTGTTTGTGCTGTATTTAGACCTCTCTACCAAGAAATTTGTTTTGCATGCACACGTATAAAAATTGCAGTTTTTATCCAACGCAATCATAGGTCTGAACGTTGTTTTCAATTTAGACTTGTTTATATTTTTTCGTTTGGGCTTGTATTATATTTGACTTCGGGTTTATATGATCCGTTCATCCTATTTCGAATCTTCAAAAAGTAAGAGTCTATCCTTAATTGAGGTAATTAATATAGCCTTCTAAATACCGTTTCGATTCCTAACATCACCGAAGAGACATTAATTGTCGAAATCTGGATATGGTGTACTGATTTATGCACCGTTTGTTTGCGGTATACCATCTTTTCCGCAAGTTTATTGTTTTCTGTTTGGTATCAAATTAATAATTAAGATCCATTTTGTTACATCTGGTGATCCATGTATTTGGCAATCGCCAATGGTAGTCAGCAGGGGTTAAGGACATCCGTTGTTCGACCTGTTAGTCAAATGCGTTTTGTTAAAATATACTTT